TTTTAACTACGAGACTTTCTGAGTCCCTGATGCTCACTTTCAGGTAGTGTATGGATGAATACCTGGAAGACGGGGGTTTCCAGATATATTCTGCATACCAGGTCCTCTCTTTAAACTCCCAGCTATTCTTTGCTGGGAGAGAGCTGTCATGTTAGAAGTGTTTGCACATTTTAATCAAACAGCTTCAGGAGGTGCTTCTTCCCTTGAGGAGGAAGGCCAGAAGGTTGTGGCCTAAGAATTGCACTCAACTGTTAATAACAATCTCCCCTCGAGGGAGTTTACTTATACGGACAGATATCAGCATTGACCAACAATCCTGTTTCTTTTCCTGTGCTTTCCTGAGCTTTTATTAGAATTGGTTGTGCAATTTTTGTAGAAAGGCATTTTCCGGGAGGACATCACATTATCAAGATGAATGCAGTGATACCAGGGATGCGGAATGAACACTTGTGACCCATGTTGCTTAAATGGGCTGTTTGTTTGTTTTATTTATTTTGCAGAGGTAAGGAACTGCTATTATCACATTCTACCAGGCAGAGAAAATAGCAGCATAATGGCTTGCCCAAGGTCAGGCAGGATATCCACTGGCAGAGCAGGAAGGGTGGGGTGGAGAGAAGTAAACAGTAGGGCCAGGGCCAGCCCAATATATTTTGCTGCCTAAGGCTATGGCTAAGATGGCACTCCCTCCCCTGCACCATTCCATACACAGAAGCCAACTGGACTGGCTGTTGGCTTTCACTTCAACACTGGCGACAAGACAGCATCCTTCATTGTATCAGAGGACAGCACACTAGCTAAGAGGGCCTTTGGGTCTCCATTGAGAGCATTTGCAGATGACTTAGTACTGACGTTACAGGAGCCAGAATCTAGTACCAAAAGGGTTTTAGAACTGATTCAAGAATTTGGTCAGGTTGCTGGATTTAAACTGAATAAGTTAAAAACCAAGGTTTTAGAGAAAAACTTAACACCGATTGAGAAAGAGAGGTTTCAGAATGAAACAGGTTTAACAGTGGTTAAGAAAGTGAAATACCTGGGGATTAATATGACAGCAAAAAATGGGAACCTATTTAAAGACAACTATGAAAAATGCTGGGTTGAAGTGAAAAAAGATTTAGAAATTTGGTCAAAGTTGAAGCTTTCACTGCTGGGTGCTAAAGAAGGACAGAACTTTTTTTATGTATGCCACAACAGCAGCAAGAATACTCATTGCAAAGTATTGGAAGACACAAGATCTACCCACTCTGGAAGAATGGCAGATGAAGGTGATGGACTATATGGAACTGGCGGAAATGACTGGCAGAATCCGAGACCAGGAAGAAGAGTCGGTGAAAGAAGATTGGAAGAAATTTAAGGATTATCTACAGAAATATTGTAAAATTAATGATTGTTAGAATGATGTTGGATAGAAATTAAGTGGTTTTCAGCTGTAATACTATAAGGGAATATGAAAAATGGATTATTAAGAGGTAAAAATTTAACGTTACAATATTTTAAGATTAAAGATTAGGATAAACAAAGAGGGTAAGGATTTGCTGAACCAACAAACTGAACTGGAATACAAAAAAGGGAGGCGTGAGGAGGTCCGGGAAATAAGCTAATGAAAAATAAGTAATGGAAAGATTGAGTTGTTTTTAGCCATTTTTATTTTTGTACTTTTTTCTTTTTTTGTTTTTGTTTTGTAACATTTTGAAAATCTTAATAAATATCTTTAAAAAAAAAAAAAGAGGGCCTTTGGGTCTCCAGTACTTCTGCTTACTCCTCCTGGTGTCTGTTTGCTAATGCCACAATAGCAGTAATAGCCACAGTGCAGAGTAGCTTGCACAAACATGTATGGCCTGAGTTAGCTGTCTAGCTTGGCCACTGAGTGTTGGCTCAGGAGGATGGGAATGACTGGAGGCGGGAGGGTCTCAATGCCTGTGGTGATGTCTTCACTGTGCCTAATGGAAAGATCAGGAACAGGGAGAGGTTTAGCAAGGCCAGGGAGTGAGGCAGAAACAGTCAAGAGTGACATAAAATAGAGGTGTCTAACCTATGGTCCTCCAGATGCTACTGGACTACAGATTCTATCATCCCTGGTCACTGGCTATGCTGGCTGGGGCTGATGGGAGTTGGATTCCAGAAACATTGGGATGCAGGAGAGAAACACAGGTTCCCTAATATAAATAGTTGAGTCTGAGCTGCACAAAGGAGTATGCAACTGCACAAAGTCTGCTAACAGGAGGGGGATGTTATATAGCAGTAAAGGACAGTGCCCAGTTACCTTGGGGATACCATCACAGGTCTGATGAGGCTTCGGGGTCCTAAATTTTCATGCAAGAAGGGGTGGCTGAGGAAGCATGGCTCTAGCTTAGCCCCCAGAGTGTCCTTGGTTCAAAACTTACTGTGGATGATGCTCTTAATAAATGTGTGAATAAGTTAGTGTCTAGGCTGCAAACTGCAAAATCTATCCATCTCAGCTTTTTTTTATGATCGGCTCTACTCCTTCTCTGTTAAAAGGAGTGTGACTGTGACACCTTCGGGATAGACTGGAACCCTGAAATTTATGAAGCTTAGCCTCCTTGTATATGATGAAATTCTAAATCTCCATCCTGATCATTAGCTTGAAACCAACTTCAACTGGCCCCAAAGAGCCTCAGGAGTTTAATTCATAATTTAGTTTTTAATTGGCTCACCTTTTTTCTCAGTGCTCTGTTAAACCTATCTGTCAGACACACACTCCTGTTCCTATGTCTCTGCACTGTAAAGGGCTGAAGAGTACATGCTTTGCATGTGAAGATTTCAAGGTTTGGCCCTGACATTTCCAGGTAGGACTGAGAAAGACTCAGGTAGGTTTGAAATCCTGGAGGGCCACTGCCAGCCAATGCAGAGCAGGAGTGGCTAGACTTCAGGCTTTCAGAACTTACATTGTTGTTGTTGTTTTACTACCCCCCCCCCCCAAGGATCCTGAGCCACCACTTCTTGCACAAAACTGAGCAAGCTGCAAACAACATTTGTTTACCATTAAATAATTCTTAGCCTGGGGATTTGTTTTGAGTGTCAGAACTGGATAGAGCACACAGCCCTTCCACACAAACCCCCACTCCTAGTCATCCCAAACTCTCTTCACTTCAGCAATATTATTTACAGCAGAGGAAAATAATTTATCTGCTGTCAGAAATTCAAAAAGCCTTGCTGATCTACTGGAAATTAGTTAGAGATCTACTGTAGATTCAGATCTACCTTCTGCCCAACCCTTGTGCGGAGATTACCAAGTTTGATGGACCAATGATCTGACTTGGTATATGGTGCAACTCCTATGATGGCATTATTATTCTTATTGTTTATATGAATATTTATATGCTGCCCTCATCTTATGGCCACAGATAAAACAAGTACACACTTAAAAGAAAATATATTTAAAATCGCAACAGCTATAAAGTGCAACTTCATTTAAAAAAGTGCAATGGGAAGACTCACCAAATTCATCAGAACAATTCTACTGCTTTCCTGAATATTGGAGAAAGAGTTGGGTCCTTACCTATGTAAAATAATGGAGTGAGCTGGCAAGATAAACCCCAGTGTGGTAGGAGTTCCATATACCACTGGAAAAGCCCTTCCCCAGGTTCCAGGCTTTGTATCTCATCCAATGCAGGGACCATTAGGAGGGCCTCATTTGCTGACTTAAGGAGACAGGAGAGTCAATATGGGAAAAGACACTTTTTTATCTAGCAGCTGGATAATGGGGACCATGACAGTCATTAATGTTTTGGCATGTGATGAAAGGAAAGGAGTCTCTCTGACTTGCCTTCATTTCAATATAAGTAGCCACTCTCAACCCTCCAAATAAGTTCACAGCAGCTGAGCCCCATGGCCAATGAAAGACTGCATTTCTTTCTTACATCTCTCACTCTTTGGCAGTGGAATTCAGCTGCCCTGATGATGAGCACTACATAATCTGCTTTATGCCAAATCAGCCCAGTACAAAATTGTACTATACCCATTTTCTCTGGGGTACTTATCCTGCATCTATTAGATGGGTGTATTGATTCAATGAGTTTGTATATTTTTCCTGTACTTCCACTGTGTGCTAATCTTGCTGTTCAGTTCTGGTTGCCAGATGGAATGAGCAGCTTTTTGAAATCAACAAAGCAGGCAAATGTTTCCCCTTTCCCCTTGGTTTTTTTGTTTTTGTTTTTTTAAATATGGTTGTTAATAAGCACTTATAAGGTAAAATGAATTTATCCATCCTTTCCTGCCAAAGGGGAAAACAAAGGTTGGCTTTCATGGATTTGGGTGTTCTATGTAGCCCAGCAAGTTCTCAGTAGTGCAAACCTGCTTCAAATCTGTGAATGAGATACAGAGGTTAGACATTTTCAAAAACAATGTTTCTCCCCCCTCCCTCTCTGTGTTGCTTTTGTACAAACATGGTCTCTCTCAAAGCATAATGAAATAAGGGTGATGAAACTGATCAAGTGAATCCTGAAGCTTTTTGTACAATAACTCACACCATTCTGTCAAGTTCCCTGATAAAAAGATCTGAATAGCTAATGTCCTTTTTTATGCTTCCATTTGATTTTCTTTCTGTTTCTCTCTTTCCCTTTCAAGGATTGTGGAGAAAGGAACAAAAGGGATATACATCTCCATGTGAAGTTATGCAAAGCCTGAGGCCCTTCTTTAGTTGCTTGGCTGCAATCCTCCAGAGGACCGAAAAGGGGACCTTGTAAACGCCTCCAAACTCTGCACTTTCTTCACCACCTGCCTTGGAATGGATACTGGAGTAGACTGGAAATCTTGACGGAAAAGCGACAGGGAAGAGAACCATGGTTTGTCCCCTCCAGAAGACCACTGATCAATTTCCCCTTTCAGTATTGGCCCTTTGAAGGTTATTCCTCTCCCCTCTCCAGAGTTCAATGTGGAACCAGTCTCCAAGCCAGCAAAGCTAAGTGGTTTTTGATGACAAGAGTCCTTGATCTCCATGGGTCTTTAGGTTGGAAGGGTTGAGTTTCAAGGGGTCTTTGGCAATGATTGGGAAGAACTGGGGATCTTTGTGCATGGAGCAACTCTCCTTCTGTCTATTCCTGAGTGTCTGCTGTGACTGGTGGTATCATCCAGTCAGCTCAGCTAAACCGAAAGGTCAAGGACATCCCCACATGAACTCTATCCGTCTGGATGGGGATATCACCCTTGGAGGCCTCTTCCCTGTCCATGGGAGGGGCTCTGAGGGCAAGGCATGTGGTGAGCTGAAGAAAGAGAAGGGGATTCACCGCCTAGAGGCTATGCTTTTTGCTCTGGATCGCATCAACAACGATCCTGACTTACTCCCCAATATCACCTTGGGGGCTCGCATCCTTGACACCTGCTCTCGAGATACCCATGCCTTGGAACAGTCCCTCACCTTTGTCCAGGCCTTGATTGAGAAGGACAGCACAGAGGTGCGCTGTGTCAATGGTGGGCCACCTATCATCACCAAGCCAGAGCGTGTGGTTGGGGTGATTGGCGCTTCCGGCAGCTCCGTCTCCATCATGGTTGCCAACATATTGCGCCTCTTCAAGGTAAGTGTGTGAGCTTCCTCTTCTCCTTTTCCACCTCCTCCTTTCACTGCACAGGATCATTTGCAATTCAATCCTTTTTCTCCTTCCCGCCGCAGCTGCTAAAATCACCACCAGCGACTGTTAAGTGGAAAAAACATTAAAGTAGTTTTTACAATAATTATACAGGCTAAGTTCTTGCTCCCTGGCGGGGAAAAGGGAGGAGAACAGAATCTCTTTCTGCGTCTCTGTGGGTGTTTAAAGAGCTCCCTGTCTCCCTTGGGGAGGCTGACCCTTCCTCTCCCTTCCAACCATGATATTTTGAGCAGGGTTTCTCCCCTCCCCCCTTCTGCATCTGCCACTTGTGTGAGGGAAAGCTGGTGAGTCGATGCCATTAGATATTGTGGGGAGGGCGTTCTTCAGCGTGGAGAAGGGTGGAGGGAATTATATGGTTCATTTTACAGCTGAGAAGAATATTCATGCTGCGTGTATCCCAGAAGCTGCTGTGGGAGGGTGAGGGGGTGTGGAGAATGAGAGACTTGCTCCGTGAAAGCATTTATAAACCAGCATGAGGGGAAAGACCTTCTTCTAATGCACGTGGTAATTTCTAACCCTGGGGGGATGCAGTTGGCTCTAGGGGCATGTGACGGACATCTCCCTGGCCTAATTTACCTCAGAATATCCAGCACTAGGGTACCCAGAAGAATTATCTCATACCTCTCATTCCAAAAATTCTCAGTCACATTGACATCAACATATCCCCCCCCCACTACAATTTTGTTTAAAAAAATAGTGCTGGGTGGAATTGCAAAGTGTATCATGAGAGGGGGTGTGTTCCTCTTAAGAGAAAATAATTGTGTTCATGGAATTACTACTCATGTGGCAGACTCGCTGTGTAAGGCAGCACACCTGACATTGCTGATGTGTTTTAAATTCCAATGTAAACCAGCGGTTTCTGTACTGTAATACCAGTATCTATGGGTCTAATGGGAGCAAGTGGCATTTGGCAAATTTCATATCAGGAGTGGGAAACACTTTTCAGCCTGAGGGTCAAATGCCTTTCTGATCCACCTTCTGAGGGCAGCATGCCACTGGAGGCTGCTCTTTCGCCAGAGGCAAAAGTGGGCACAGCAACAAATGTAAAATTTTGCCTTTATACAGTGTGCTTTCTCCACATGGGAAGCGGGTGGTGCTGTGGGTTAAACCACAGAGCCTAGGGCTTGCCGATCAGAAGGTTGGCGGTTTGAATCCCAGCGATGGGGTAAGCTCCCGTTGCTCGGTCCCAGCTCCGGCCAACCTAGCAGTTCGGAAGCACCTCAAAGTGCAAGTAGATAAATAGGTACCACTCCGGCAGGAAGGTAAACGGCGTTTCTGTGCACTGCTCTGGTTCGCCAGAAGCGGCTTAGTCATGCTGGCCACATGACCCGGAAGCTGTACGCCGGCTCCCTCGGCCAATAAAGCGAGATGAGTGCTGCAACCCCAGAGTCGGTCACGACTGGACCTAATGATCAGTGGTCCCTTTACCTTTACCTTCTCCACATACTCTCAGAAAACCCTCCCTGCTTCCATCCAGGGAAGCAAGAGGATCTGTCAGAGTTCAAGCACACATTCCAGCCAGGCACTCGAGGAGGGTGTGAGGCAAGGCCAGGGGGGTGGGGGATGTGGTATGGTCTGGAGAAAGTCCCAAGGGCCAGCCCGTGAGCCCTGGAGGGTCACATTCAGCCCTGAAGCCTGACGTTCCCTGCCCTTGTTTTAGCTTAATAGTCATGAACCCCTGTTACACAAATGTCTGTGTGGAGTTTGGGTGTGGATTGTGTAATGGATACAATGGGTTCAGTGCCTGACCTCTCAGCCCTTCATTTAAAAAGGTTTTAATACTACTTATTAATTTGGTCAGTGGACAGTGGTCAGTTGATTTCCTGCCACGTTCTTCTTCTGTGTTGGAGTTGTCATTCTGTCTAATGCCTTAAGGCAGCTGCTCTTGAGCTCTTTTCCAGTTTGGCACTGGAACTGTGTTTGTACGTATCAGTGGCACTGTTAGGTATGGACCCCAGAGTAGAAGATCAGAGTAGTGCCACTTCACTGGATGATGCGGGTGAGGAGGCATCTGCAGCAGCATGGGGAAATGTGCTGTGAATCACTGTGCCAGCCAAGGCTGAAGGCACCCACCATCTGCCTCCCCCCAGAATGGTTCTGGACTCCATGTGGGAGGAGAGCAGAATGGCCAGTGTGGTGTGAGAGAGGGGGAGAGCAGCCAGGCACCTTATCCAGGAAGCGCTCACATTTGACAGGAAATGGTGTCAGGTCTGGTGCATGTTGAAGGGATGGCGCCTCTCAGCCTCAGGGAGAGGTTGGTCCTAATAAGGTTGTTACCCACTGTTGCTCTTGACTCTTTCTGGTGGAGCGACATAGCTACCTGCAACTTTAGTAACCCTTGGGATGTGGAATGGATTCTTTCTTTGAATGGAATTTTTTTTCTCTTTTTACTCTGAATTGTAGCTTGCCAGAGGTCTCATGTGACAAGGCTAGATCTTTCCACACCTACAGACTGCTGAACTGGTTGCTTAGGCGTACAATTCCATGTACTGTAGATGCCTTTGTGGTTCAGCTGAACTAGGCAATACTTGCATGAAACTTGCCCAGGTGTTTCATTCTCAGTAGCAACACTTTATACACTTGGGCAAATGCTCAGGTGCATTCAGCAAGTCACCTAAATACTTTCCCGTGGCTGCAAATGCCAGAAGCAGCCACTTTCCATCCCCAAAGGGGATGAACTTTTGTAATGAGTAACATTACTGTGGCTACAGTGGCTCTAAGGACCATTCAGGAAAACTGGCAAAGACTTTTCTCTTCTGCCAGCTTCCAGTGCTGAGAACCTTGGTGAGTTCCTATGCTGTGGATTAGAACTCCCTCGCTGAACGCTTGTTTCAAGGGTATCATTTTAATTAATATTGTTCTTTATGTATTCTGAAGATGTCAAAGAAATATTAAAATATTTGCATTTCTATTTACTGCCTCTATTTGCATATGAAAACAAGACACAGGGTGCAAGCATCATTTGTTACTAACAGAGAAATTCCAAGCATATGCACTCAGAAGGAAGTCTGATTGATGTCAATGGGATTTACTGCCGGGTAAATGTGCAGAAGACTGCAGACTTCCTCTCGCCAGAAGTAAGAGTAGTAAACAAACAAATAATCATTTGATACCTTTTGACATATGTATTGTGTCCCGAGCTTTTGTAGGCATGAGTTTACTTTATTATTTGCATGAAATCTTTATGTGTGTAAGTCTACTAAAGCCGAGAGCCTGTGAAATGTCAGAACATACATTTCCCAGTCTTTCACCATGCTATTAGTCACCTGTACAGAACACATCCAGGGTGTTTGCAGAGTCTTTTTGGGAGGGTGGATACCTTTCCTGGTTTGAGAAGCAACTGGATTTTGCTGTGTTGCAATCTATTTTCTCTGGCACTGAACCAACATAACGTAGTGGTTAGAGTGTTGGACTAGGACCAGGGAGACCAGGGTTCAAATCCCCACTTGGCCATGAAGCTCACTGGATGACCTTGGCCATTAATTGCCTCTCAGACTAACCTATGTCACAGGGTTGTTGTTGGAGTTAAATGAGAAGAAGAGAGCCATGTACACACACACACACACACACACACACACACACACACTTAATTGAATGAAGTATGAAAAACTTGGGGGGATGAGAAAAATGTCCTTCTTACCTTCCTTAAATGGACCCCTGTAGAGCATGTAAGCCCCTTCCTAGCTGCAAATAGTCAATGTCTCCTGCTGATCATGCTTTCAGAATTAGTTCTATTCCATGGATCCAGTAAAAGCTTACTCCCAAATTTTCCTTTAGCTGAAAAGTTAGGCAGTTTATGTTGTAAGTGGGAAGTGTTCATAGATCTGCATTGATTCTTGCTGTGAGGTTCCAAAGTGCATGGATTTGTTAGACTCTAAACTGAGAGGTCAAGAAGCACACACCTCGCCTTCAAACCTATCCTCTTGCGGCATTGCAGTGATGTGAGAAACTGTTTGAGGGAAGTTTGATGTTCCTTCTTTAATAGGCATTTTGTTGCATTGTTCACAGTGCTGCTTAATTTTTTTTTGGCAGACATACCACCCTGTGATCTAATTTACCTGCTAAACAAAGCAGGCTAGAGTCTGGTGTCTGGCTAGTGGGCTGTATTCACATACGCACATAGGTGTATTCTCAAGGATGCCACGGGAGGTGATGTAAAATGCAGGAAGCAGAAGCATTTTTAGCACAGCAAGTCTCCATAGTATCTTAGACAGAGTGAGCCATTTTGCCAGGTGTCAGAGAAGTTCGAAGGCAAATCCATCAAGATAAAATCCTTTGGATGGAAACTTACCCCATACATGTGCTGTGGATTAATGTCCTTGTAAATTGTGTCTCACAGTTCCATAGTGGTGGAAACAACAGCTGTAATGCAGTGGTGAATTCTGAAGTGGAGGAACCCTCCATAGTCATGCCCCCAGGGAGACAGAGAATCCATAGCCATGCCAACTGTATGGATCCATATGTTATGAATACAAATATTATTAATTTGTGTCGGTGAAGCCATTAAAAAAAATCAAAATGCATAACACAGAATAAAATGCTTTACACAGTTAAAGTGATGATTAAAACCATGCATTTTGTCAGATAAGAGTTTGCTTCCCTGAAGAATTTAATTTATAATCCCCACAAACCTTTCCCCTTAAAATTGCCACTCTAAAGGCAAAACAGGCCACTTTTCAGAGGTGTAGGGGGACCTGCCTCTAATAAAAAGTTAATCAAATATCCAATTGATTTCCCAACTGGGATATTTAAATGTTTGAACTAGTCTGCTCTTATATTATTGTAGATTGGGCAAACTTGTAAATAGTGAGGTAAATCTTCAGTATCTGTCCTCCAAACCTCCAAGCTTATAATCCTGGCTAATACTGCCCCAGCAGATGATGCCATCACTCCTAGTGTGGAAGAGGAATCAGAGTGGCATTTCCTGAGGTTCCTGCTGGCTGGAGGAGAGATATCTGCAAAAAATTTCAATTGCCTCTCTATATGGTTTACTTCTTATGTTTATATACATCAGGTGTGAGGATCCTTTGGCCCTCCAGATGTTTCTGGATGTCATGAACTGACATTAGGCCTGACACTCAGCCAAGTCTGTGGAAATGAAAATCTTCCAAGTCTGTTTTTGATAATAAAGAGCTAATGCCAATTTTGGACTTTGTGAGGAGTGGCTGTGACACCAGCAAACAGACCCCACCCACTCTCAGACCCCACCCAGTCCAAAGCTGTCTCTTGCTTCCCTTGCTAAAGCTGTGCTTGCCCCATCCTTTAAAGCAGGAACCAAGGGAATATGTCACTTGCTGGATCAATGCCTTAGCTTGCTTAGCCAGACATACCACCTGCTCTGCCTTTAGCTGTTGCATTGCCTATGTAGTGTACTGATATGAGCATTAAAGTTTTTGACAGAAACCAGAATCTGAGTTCGTGGTCTTCATCCAGTGAGAGACAGGACATTAGAGGGAGTAAAGTGTGTGCTAATTGAATACTCCTTTTGCTTGCTGTATGCATACATAGCTGCAAAGTTCTCGCATCCACATGCAAACTAGTATAAGATATGGTGCTGCCTTGCTATATCTTTTGTTGTCGTGCGTTCTTTCTGGAAGTGCTATCAGCCATTTCAAATAGTTCTGCTCTGAATGGATACTTACAAGACTGAAAGTACAAAGGGCTGCAAAATAGGAAAAATCCAGATGACTCTTTCACAGTGGGTTGTTTAAAGCATTTGAAAGAGTTCTGGTGGGCAGTGGAGTTTTCATCGATTCAACTCTTACTATTGCATAAATTCTTTGAAGGTCACGGCCACTGTTGAATGAAACATCCCTTTTCATTGTGTTCTCCGAATTGTTTGGCAGATGGGGATACTTTGTACAGTCGGTGACCCTTTGTGGGAGAGGGAGCAAGTACATATAAAACCTTTCCAAATAACAAGGTAGATTATGCTGTTGTTATGGATGCCAGTGTTAGACCTGCCTATGTCAGGCCCACCTTGCAAAAACCACTCCAGAGGAGGGAGAGCAAGAGAACGCTTCCAGATAGTATGTTTTTTTGAAATGAGTTTTAGGGGTTCTGAGATGCAGCATGTCCGACATCTTCAAGCTATGTAGGGACTGTACTCTATTTATTATGATGATTTATTGAATTTGTTAGTTGCTTTATCTTGCCCAGGGCAACCCAAAGTGATTTACAACCCAAGTCTCTTGGGAGCTGGGAATATTGCCATAGGCTCTAGAACAAAGCTTATAGCAGGAACTTGTGCTGTTTCTAGTATTCTTTTCATCCACTTCGGAATTAATGTAGGAGGGGGTGGGGGGAGAAGCAACAGACTTTGTCTCTTTTTGCTAAGCTGTACCAGTGGCAGGAGCTCTTACAACAGGAATGGGGAAACTGTTGCTGAACCACAACTCCCATCATCCATAGCCATTGATTATGCTGGCTGGGGCTAATAGGAATTGGAGTCCAATCACATTGGGAGGGTCATGGGTTTCCTACTCCTGCTTTAAGGGAAAAGGGTGTTTGTGGAAGAGCTTCCCGTCACAGCTGGAGCAGAGCTATGGAAACTTTGATGGGGAAAGGGTGAAGTTAGCTATAGTCAGGCGTGCCAACTCTAGGCGGCTGACCTGTCTCCAGCCTCCTTAATCTTTGTTGGAAAGGGGCCTGTTGTGCATCACACACATGCAATGTCACACTTGCCACACATAGGGCAGGCAGCCAGCTCCAGCAAAGTGCTCAGCCTTCTCTGGATGATGTGATGCCACTTGTGTGTCGCTCACATGACATCACATGCGCATGAAACGCACCACCACCCCAATCTTGGGGACAACCTGGCGCCTCTGACTCTAGTTGATAATATTTTAAAATTTAAATAATAATGTTTAAATTAAAATTAAATACGTTCTTTGCATACCAGCACATAAGTACCCTTCTAAAAGGAGGAAAATAAAATGTCCCTGCCTCCTGCCCCTACCGGAACATTTCTGACACAGGAGCAGTGGCAGCAGAAACACTGAGAGCCAGTGTGGTGTAGTGGTTAAGAGAGGTAGACTCGT